GTGTCCCCGCGCGCGGCCCGCCGCGCCTGTCGCCTCTTTGTTTCTCGGCCGGTTTGTAGCTGTGCGTGGCGAGTGCATTGTGGGTTTCCTGGGAGTGTGGGATCTGCGCTGCTGTGCGGAGTGCTGTCTCGCTGGTGTTGCTGTGCCCCCAGCGCTCTGCGTCTGCTTGGTGCTTTAGCTTCATTTCTAGCATCTCCATCTCTCGTTTTGTGGGATCTCTTGTGTTTGTCCTTCCCGCTGAGTTTGCAGGTTACTCCATATTTCTTCGCATCATTTCTCTAACAGATTTCCCCAGATATTTTGGGGGGAAGTTCCCCTTTCCCCCACACCACAAATCCTTCCTCCAAAATAACAATACATGAACTCGAACAATTTCAGGCTTGTGGAGAGCGTAAACCAAACTCTTCAGTGGGGAAGGGAAGCTCCCCCCCACCAGATCCCAAGCAGCTGCATGTTTTAAAACCCCGACTGAGGCGGTGCAGGGAGAGAAAGTGGAGCGTGCAGGGATTGGATGTGGTAGCAGTTGTGGAAAAAAATTAAAGTTGGGGCATCTTTTGCGTCACCTGTTTTTTCCAGGGTGTAACTCTGGTCAGATTGTTGCCCCATGCCCCACGTGGGATGGTGTTCCTGTCACCCACTTCACCTGCTCTGGCCCAGAGCGCTGCAAAGCAGAGCGCCATGACCAGAGCACGCAGTGGGATGTAGTCTCTACATTTCTTTCAACATGGATGCTGTGTTAGGGTTTTTTCCCCCCTCCCTCTCTCTCTCTCCCCCTCTCTCTCTCTCTCTTTTTCTTTCTTGCTATGGAAAAACCTGAAAAGTTGGGTGGTTCCGCAGCCTAGCAGCTGCTGGCGATGAGGAGCCACTCGCTGAGGCTGGAGCGGAGCGGTGGGTACGATTAGCTGTGGCGTGGAGCGGTGCTGGGACCATGTGACTGCGGTGCACGTTGGAAGAGGAAGCTGTAGAGGTCAATGCAAAGGCATTGTGCCAGAGTCTGGCAACAAGGGAGATTGCTGTATGGCGGAAGATCGCTTTTTTCCAGGCTCCTGAGCCTTTTGGTAGCAGTTGGGGTTGGACAAAAGCAACCCTGTAAGATTAACAGCAGAAATGAAACAGCATGGCTCGTTTGGGGATGGAAAGAACAACGTTGTTTTCTCCAAATGCTTTGTAGGTTTTTATTAATCACCATATTGTGGCTCTTTAACTAAAACCACCTTTATTGGGATGGAAATTGTGTTTAGAGGAGTTTCGAGAAAACAGAAAATGGGGAAAAACAAAGGTGAGAAAAGTGTTATGCGTTCAGTTACGGGTGTTTTCTCGCTAAACTAAATTTTAAGCACTTTGATTTGACAGAGAATTCGATCCTGTTATTTCCTCTGTGAACACAAGCAGGTCGACATCTGCAAGTTTAGATTATGGACTGCTGAGGAGTAAATAAGGCCGGCTAATGCTTAGGCCACTTGCGCTCTGTCAGAATATCTTAAGACGAACGGGTAATTGTTGGTAGGTAGCACTGGCTTAGAAGATTTTTGTTAGTGTGATGTACTTCACCTCTGACCTTTTGGAAACGGAAAATAATCGATTCCAGAAGGATTTGAATTTTTTATTTTAAAACAACACGGACCTGTAATACTCAACACTGCCCACAAACGGAGAATTTCCGTGGTGAGGGGTTTTTTGTTGTTTTGATAGCAATTATTCAATCTGTGACTTTTTGCAGTTTGGCTGGAAGAAAGGCAACTTCGTTTCTGGGCTTCTTTTATTGTTTTTAAATTCTATCTGACTTGTAATCAACAACATCTTGGTAGAGAAAACATAAAAGGAGAAATTCAGAAAAAAATGTATTTGGGAGGGAAGGACTCATATTTTGAAATGGAGCATATTGAGAGTCTAGACAGCTTCTTGGCTAGCTGTGATTTTTGAAGCATCTGAAATACCCCAGGGGCAGAAAAACCTCTCTTCCTGCTTCTGAAGGATTAAAAAAAAAAAATAAATTCCAGAGTGGGCAAGAGGAGAGACGTGTAATTGCACAAGGAAGGGTTTTAATTGTGAGATGAAGGCGCAGGACCTTTTTTGAAGCCCGCAAATTGACTGTCTTCATGACAGCATTGCGTATCATTCTGTCAACTCCAGCTCGGGATGTGGTTGCTAGGCAGCGGGCTCTTATGTACCTATAGTCTCTCTGATTTGCCAGCCTTCTGCAGACACATGGTAAGGTCCTTTCCAGCCTATCATCTAGAGGGACTTTTGCACGCCGTCTGCATACTGCTGAGATTCTCTCTACCTGAATGTGATGAGAAAAAGACACAGTTAAATGAAACCTTTTTTCTTTTTTTTCTTTTTTTTCTTTTTTTTTTTTTGCAACTCCCGTTCTGGTACTGTATCCATAACCCCCCCCCTAAAAAAAAAACCCCAAACCAAACCCCAAAAAAGCCATGAAACGGAGACCGGAACAAGGAAAAGAGGTTAGTGGGTTAAGTGGCGTGTGTTTCCTGCGTTTGCAAAGGTGCCTGGAGTGAGGAGGGCGGCTGCAGTTCGGCCATTAGTTACAGATGGAGGCTTGAGGCTCATGCAGCGAGACGAGAGCTCTCCGATCTCTCTCCAGCGATGCCGACCTTAAACTGCTTTGAAAACCTGAATCAAGATGGCATAAAAAATAGCGGATTTGATACTTAGTGATGCTGCCAGCTGGTTCCTTTATGTATCTTGATGCAGAAATGCTTAGATATGTGAACAAAAAGGAGATAATTTGCCAGCTGAGGTTTCTGTCCCCCCGTCCTTACAAAAATGGCATTAGTGGCAAGTAGGTAAAGAACGTTCAGGAGGGTTTATAAGCAAATTAGATTTTTTCCAAAACTTTGCTGTTTGAAGCAATTTGTGTACAACTTGTGGTGAAGGTTATGTCTCTCAAGCGGTGAAGGAGAGCGTTAAACAGATCACCCCAGGGATAGGCAGGAGCATAGGAAATATTTCTGAACAACATAACTTTGAATGGTTTTCCATTCCTTTACTCCAGAAGCTTTCGTTCCAGTTGTATGAAAAGCAAGCTCAAACGTGGAGATAAGCGTTTTTCAGCAAAAACCTAGTTATAGTGACTTCCTAAGACAAATCCCAATACAATAAATGCCAAAACTTAATTGGTGGAAACAGTATCGCACGTGCAGTTAACCTCTACAAATGAAGACTTGAAAAATACTGTTTCAGACTGAGTCATTTTTCTCCTTCACTCTGCTTCCAGGTACTGTTTGATGAGTGTGAAAGGATGCTTCACTGATTTTCATATTGATTTTGGTGGCACTTCAGTGTGGTATCACGTGTTCCGTGGGGGAAAGGTAAGTGAACCTGGTCTGAGATTTGTTTTTATTTCTCTGTGCCTCTTAGGGAGGGGAGAGGTTGCTTTCTCTGGGTTTTATTTTTATTTTCTTCTGTTTGAGGGGGGGCTAGTCAGTGATCAGTCTGTTCAGACAGCTTTGGGGGCGCACTGGGAGTTTGCTGAACTAGAAGGAGCCATTCACCTTCCTGAAACAAGCGAGTGATTTATTTGAAATATCAAACGTGTTACTTGCTGTTGGTGGGGCTTTAGGCTTGCGGTTGCTGCGTGCTTTGGAAGGGGCTTGCAGTGAGTTACGTGGCTGTGTGTACCGTCTTGGGTCAGAGTGCCCTCGCAAGTCTCCTCCTGCCGCTAGAGCTTCTGCTTCCTTTTGGAGATTCCATGTTCCTTTAGTGTACGCGTGCACACTATGCCGGAACGGAAATATTACAGGATACAGAAGTGTTAAAATACACAGCATGCATAGCCACGTTCACATCTTTACCGTTTTAGGGTGATTTTCCGAGTTCTAGTATAGACAGTGTGTGGTGGGACTGGAATAAATACCACCGAGTGGGCCTCTCTCTGGTACAAATACCGTTCGTCTCGGTAGTCTGATGAAGTTGTGCTGTACCCACGCGCTGTTTTGAACTGAAAGTAAACCGCGCGAGCATCGTCCGAGTAAGATGTTTCATGGAAGAGAGATGACAACTGACACCTACCTGGCCGCTTCCAGCACATGGACCGGTTGCTGCTGCTGTCTGCTGTGAGCTCTGTGTGCAACACCTGGAACCCCTGCTTTGTGCGGAAGGCAGGCTCGGTGTTAAGGTGTTCCTTTGTCTGACACACGATCACCTTGCTGGAGTTTCTCAGCTGTTCGTTTTTGTTGACTGTTGGTAATAGTTAAATATTTTATTTTTAGATCTTCTGGCTGATTCCGCCTACTCTGCAGAATCTAGAACTTTACGAAGAATGGGTTCTCTCAGGAAAGCAAAGTGATATCTTTCTGGGAGACAGGGTGGAACGATGCCAAAGAATTGAGCTGAAGCAAGGCTATACCTTCTTCATTCCTTCAGGTATCACTTGTTAACTAACTGTGTGTGGAATCCCTGGATTTGTGTTTGACTAAAAGTTCTCTGTACAAGAATTCTTCACATCAAACCCCTGTATTTGGTCTCTTCATTTGCTGTGGCAAAAGAGGGCCTGAATGCACGTGACTTTCCACAAATTGGCCCATCCAGACTGATGAAAAATGTGCCGTTGGGCAGTGTGTGCAGTGATCACTTGTGCTGTACTGGGGAAAAGGAGAGCGGACTTGGGCCTTGGGGGCTGCCCACCACTTCTCATCGGAGTCATGCTGACTTCTGCTATTGTTAGCGTTCTTGGAAAAATATTTGTCTCGTTTTGTGATCTCTTCGGGCAGGTTTCACCTGCCGTTCAGTAACCCACTGCCTCGGCGCTGTGTGTAGCCCGAGGTGGGTCTGCACTCCCTGATGGAGCTCAGCGGAGATTCTGGTACATGGGAGAGCAGGCGCTGTGTTCTCTCAGTGTTGCTTCTTGGGGAAACACCTTCATTTTATCGTCATAACTCTTCAGAGCTTCTGCTGATGGAGGTTATGCTGAATCTGGGCATCTTCCAGTAGCTCAGCCACACTTGATTTTCACACTACTGCCCGCCTCAGCGGCGTTGCAGGATTTGGGCTCTTCTTGCAAAGCAGCCAGATAGTTTCCGATTTGAAGGCTGGTGGCTTCAGCCCTTTCTGCTCCTGCCTAAATTGGATTAAGGATGGTGCAATCTGTAACGCTCCGTATTTAAGATGATATCAGGCTTTGCTCTGTTTGACTATTATGGGACCGTAAGTTTGTCTATAATGATATAATAGATTGCCCCTTCCAGTGGCTCTTACCAGGGAAATAAGTTCTGGTAGCCTTTCTACACGACAGAAAGACAGGTTGGTAGTTCTTCAGCTCTCAAATTACTCTGGAGGTAGGATTATTATCTTTTAATCCTGGAAACAGAGAGAATGCAGGTCATGAGAAGACAGTGGCGATGTTCTTGCCAACTAGGGAGCACTGTTAGTATCAGCTGAAGGCCACAAATTTGCACATTTTTAAGTGTTTGGTAAGCGTTGACTTGGAAGGTGACAGGCGAAGTGGCTTTGAGAGTGGAGGAGTTAATCCATTAAAGGAATTAGGTCTTCCCTTGAAACAGGTCAGAATGTGCTGTGACTGTTTGAACTGGGTGTTTGAGTGTGCCTGTGCTGTTTGCTTAGATCCGCTACTGCATCTTTGTATTTATCCTCGTTCCCCTGTGAACAGCCTCCTACGAGTAAGACTTTCTGTATGTTAGTTTAGTCATGCTCAGCAGTTGGAACACAGCGAGTTGTGGGAGCTTGTACAGGACACAACGGTAACATGGTGGCTGAAGTGATTCCAAGTGTGTTTTTTGACTGTAGTTTCTGTTTTCTTGGGAGAGCCCAAAGTACAGAAATGCCAATACCTCAGACGTTTTAGGCTCCGTGCCGTATCTGAAAGGCGTATATGAATAATTTCTCTGTAAGCACCTCAGGGATTGAAGGGCTTTTCCTCTGCATTTTTTATTCAGAAAACTTATTTGCAAATCTCTTTGTTTGTGTGAAAGGGCATTGTTTCTATCTTTAAGAGTATGGAAATGCTTAATTAAAGGCCGTTTCAGGTCAGCGAGTTGAGCACAGCTCTGTAAAACAGGTCAATTCTTACAACCTCTGTGCTCTTGTTTGTGCGTGTTTCACGTTAACTAATGTTTGAATGTGTTTTGTACGTGTTTCTAAGTGTTCATGATGTTTAGATTCTGATAACGGGTGTCTGTAAAACCAGAGTGCCCCATACTTTCAACTGAGCCTGATTAAACTCTTGACCAGCCCCAAATCATCCACGAGGAAAACACCTTCTAATCACAGGTCTGGTCTCAAGAAGAGTAGAGTGATACAGTTAGTGCTCAGCTGTGAATAGAGAGGGTTTCAGGAAAGGCCCTTTTCCAGGAGGTATCCTGCTCTGCTGCTGTTTTCATGTCATCTTTGGGGGTGGTGTAGAAGTGGTGTTATACCGTAGCAGTGCAAGGGTGAAGTAGGTAGACTGTGACAAGACACATGCGGGAGTGAGATTGTAGGCTTGTGGGAAATGGAAGGTTTCTCTGAGAATCTAGGATGAGCAGTAGATCCAGTAAATCCCTGAAACTACAAACCACCTGGGCAAGAATGGGAATTATTCCTACAGAAGGCATAATTATTATGCTTACCAGGGCTTCAAGGTATTTCCTCTCCATCCCTCCCACTGTACTTCCAGGATTAAGTTTAAACCAGTTGATTTCCACTGGTGCCTCTAGGCCTGCAGAGCACTGAGAGGCACAGTCACAGCTGGGGTATCGAGGGGAAGTTGAGCGACGTATGTCAGCATAGTGAGTCGTTAGGGCCAAGGTGTATCTTCAGCATTTTAGGAGTCCCTCCTAAGTATGGGCTGGGGGGGACTCAGCTGGATTTCTGGGAGATACTGTGTCTGGATGTTGCGTAGGAGCCAAGCTGTGCTCCTGATGGCCCCAGAAGGCTTCTCCAAACAAGCCATGCATCGTTGCATATTCCCACCTGCCTCTCTGCAGGTTACCACTGATGGGTCAAGGATGATCAACTCTGGTACGAAGTAATGAAAGCAACTGGGAACCTGGCCTTTTCCATTGGTGTAATTGTCTAAACCAATGTTGGCTTAATACACCGCATTGTGCCGTGCTGAGGTGTTTGGCCAGACGTAGATTACAGATGTTGAAACAGCTGAAGCTTCGAGCAGGGGGAGGAAGCTACAGTCACTACCAGTGCTAGTGAATGATGTTTCTTTCTCTACAGAAATCTGACTTGTTTTCCCAGGATGGGAGAGAACTTGTCCTCGTGCAGGAAGACTTCAGTAGAGAATGCTGCGGCCCTAGGATGTTTGCAGAGTGTGTGCTACCATGAGTAATGTTTAGCCTTTCATATTGTTGAATGCTTTCATAAATGTTCAGCACCGATGAAATCTGGTCAAGGTGTAAAACATTTTACTCCCATATAGTGGACAGTGGATGCTGCATGTCTGACCCACCTGCCAAACAGAAGGGAAGTTCTTTATAGGGTGTGCTTCTCTTTTCAGATATAACTGTGATGATCTCAAGAGGAAGAACATAAATTCGGTGCTCGGGTACTGTCTCAGTAGGGAAAAAATGTTATCAGGCACAATCAGATCTGGAGCGTGCCCAGTGTTTTTTGCACTGTAGCTTTCTTGTGTACAGTGTGTGTCCAGTGATGACTTGCAGGGAGGATGTGTGATGTGAAGTGTTTGGAGTCCATTGTGGTGTTATGGAGAAGAAGTTCAGATATCTCTCATCGCTGCGCTAAGAACATGCAGAACCAGTGTTTGGGCAGCATCCCTCAAGTTCCTGCAGCTCAGGATTGCTGTAGGTACATGGTTCTGGCTTGTATGTGGCCACTTGCTCTGTTACACCCTGAGTGAGGGCTGAAGAATGAGCCACAGTCTAACAGAATCCTGTTGGTCTGTGCTGGTTATTATGGTAACATCAGAGTGCTCCCAAGTTCTTGTTTCCAGTGGAATGCAGGCATAATGACATTTCTAAGATGAATATTTTTGGGAAGGGTCATGGACAAAGATGTTCTGTGCTACCCTCTGAGCAGCTGTTTGCAAGGATTTGAACTGCTCCAAATGCTGTATCTGTAGGACTCTGCCTATTACGAGTGTGTGGTGTTAGGTCACCTCTGCTGTGCCAGTCAGTATTTGATGAATTATTACGTAATGGGGCCAGAAAGTAGCAGATAGTCTTTCTGTCGAGGGGGATGACAGGCTATTAAAATCTGACTGGTAAATTTTTTGCAGGAGTTGTGCTAGGGCTGCAGAGCTGCCTTGGCTATTTTTGGTTGCTGTTAGCTTTTCCCATTTCAGGAGCTTCTACTGATGTTAATGGAAGCTCCATGCCTGGATCCTTTAGGGACTGAGCGATGAAGATCAGTGGAGAGGATCAGAGGGGAGAGTTTTTTGCCTTGAGTGTCTGCTTTCAGATAGAAGGTGACAGCATAATGTTGGATTTTTAGTTCTGTTCCTCTGCAGTGCTCTACCTAATTCTTATCAAACGATGTAAGCTTGAGAGTCGCTGTATTACTGGGGCAAAATTAATGATTTTTTTACTTTTAAAATGTAAACATGATGTTTCCTTCATATATTTGGTTGTGGGCGCTATTATGACGCCGTCATTCCTCTTTTGAGTGAGAGAAACAATGTTTTGTTTGCTGGCAGTGCCCACTCTAAGGTTATCTCCGCAGTCACTTTTTATTTTTGAGACATACATATTTCATCTTTTCCATCCCAAGTCACTGTAGAGTTGCAGGAAAATACGTATGCCTTCGGTCCCACAAAGCAGAATATCTGTTCAGTTACTAATGGAAACAGATGTGCCATGGTTTTGGCTTGGAGCTTGTAGTCTGTTTGCCCTGTAGCTTTAGAAGTTAATATTCTTTTTTTATTGTTCTCAGATGGATGATCGCATCCTTGAAGATACGGTAGGAATTTGCAGGCCCCTGAAATCTTCTAACAAGTTTGCAATGTTTAATAATACTTGTTTTATAAAATTCAAAAGATAATGAGATTGTATCTTTCTTTTAGCTGTTCAGAAAAGCTTTTGTTACTGCTAATTTTACCTTCTTGATTTACTAGACGATAACATCTAAATATTGAAGTGTGTCTTAGGAGTGGTGGAATCATTCGTAACTGTAAATCAGCTGAGAGTATTTCTGAACCTCCTGAATAGAATTCCTGCTCAGTGTTGGCTTGGTTTCATAAACTAGGATTGTTTTGGGAAGGAAAAAAAATACTCGCTAATCACCAAGAACTGAAATAAAAAAGATCCACTTCAGAAAAACCATCAGTGGACAGTCATCTCACTGAGGCTGGAGATAAGGGTTGTGAGCAGTGCCTGCAGGGTCTCTGCTCCCAAAGCCGTCAGTGCCACGTGGCCACGCTGGTGGCAGCCTGGCTGCAGCCCTCTGCTCAGGGGCCGGGACTCTGCCCTGGCCGAGCAGGAGCCTTGCGGCCGGGCTGCGAGTGAGCTCCAGCCGTGAGCTGCTTCCCCCTTCTCTTGGTCATTACCCATATCAACCTGGGCTTCCCAGTTCATGACTGAGCCTTGAAGCCCCGGAGGGGGGTGTGTCTCATAGATGGGATTTAATTGTCGCCTTGGGTAATGTCTACAGGTGTTTTTGTTTGTGTATCACAGCCGAAAATGAACAATGTCTCATTTCACTGACTTTTGACGTTTTCAGTCCTTAATCCATTTGTTCCGATACTACTACAGTGCTTTTTCTAGCCTTAAGGATAAAATCAAATTTGTGGCATTTGTGTGGCCAGTTTTTGCTGCGGGGGCTGAAAGATGCAGACGTACGTGAGCAGACATGACCGGCTGTCCGGCAGAGAGTGACGTGGGCATACCTGCCCAGACATGACCGGCTGTTCGGGAGAGA